TGTGTTGACACAGCCGCAAAGTTTGGTTCTCAGACACAAGAATTAAATATTTCATTAACTGCTGTTGGATTAATGGTAAGAATGAATTACCTATGATTAAAATATTTTAATTTTTTTCCTTTAATTTTTATTAAATTTGTTACATATATTTTTTTTTTTTTCTTATTTCTTTCCTTTTTTTTAATATGAGAAAAGCCTGAAATGTAACGTATTACGCGAATTCGGTGACTTTTGGTTTAAACTTTCGATTACAGATTATGGAATTCCTTTCAAATACATCAGAGCAGAAACTCATAATTAAAAGACGTACATACATTCAATTATAGAAGAAATTAGAAGCATCTAAAATTTTTAATATCGAAGTGAAAAATGTCTCAAATGAATAAAATTAAAATCAAGACAAATCAGGCAAATAAAGTTTATTATGATCGTGTTCATATAATTCTTTTATACCGTTTAAAAAATATATTGATAAATCAGTTAAATAGATTTTATGTTTTATAAATTATATTTAGTTTAATGTTTATATTTTTATATTATTTTTTCAGTGGAATATAAGTGATTATTTTTATCAAAATCAAGAGAAACTTTGTGTATCACTAAAAGGAGATTCTTCATCTGTATTTCCGGATTTTCCTGGTACAACAAATATGCCACCCTTTGATAAACTTTGGATGTGTTTATATGCAAGATTAGGTAATATCTATATATATACTATTGTGAAATATTATATTTATTTATATATTATTATATATTATATATTATATTTATATTATTATATACGAAATAAAATATTGTTGAAAAATTATTATATATATTTTTAAGGTGATTTATGCGTGGATTCTCGGCCTGCTGTACGCAAATCAGCTAGTCAAACTCTATTTTCTACTATATCTGCACATGGTAGTTTGTTACATCAACCAACATGGCAAGCTGTACTTTGGCAGGTTCTTTTTCCATTGCTAGATAAAGTAAGAAGTTTATCTAATTCTGCCAGTAGCGAAAAAGTGGATACTAGTGGGAATATACTTATTCATCATAGTAGAAACACAGCACAAAAGCAATGGGCAGAAACACAGGTAGATAATATATATTATTTATTATATATTTTATTTAATACTTATATAAATGCATTATATATGCACTTATAATGCATTAATATGTGGATTAATGAAAGGATTAATTCATGCAGGTATTAACATTAAGTGGTGTTGGAAGAGTATTTAATACAAAACGACAATTATTGCAAATGTTGGGCGATTTTCCTAGAGCTTGGTCTCTTTTACTGGAATTTATAGAAAATTCTGCACTCAGTAAAAATAATGAGGTACATGCATATAATGTTTATAGTTATAAAAGAAAATAAATGTATGAAATAATTATATATTAATATTATAGGTATCATTGGCAGCTTTAAAATCATTTCAAGAGATTTTATATCTTCAAAAAGGAAGTGATAATAATGAAGTAATTCATTCAAATGATTCCGAAGCATTATGGATTGTTGCTTGGCGCGTTTGGCTTAATATCGGAATGGAAAGTACAACACCACCTCAAGAAGGAGAAACTGAACCTTATGTACCATCTCAAGCATTTTTAACAGCATTAGTTCATATATTTCCAGCTGTTTTTCAACATATTAGAAACAAGTATATTTATATTTATTATATCTTTCATGTAATTAATATTATTTTTATCTAAAAAAAAAATTCATATATATGTACATATTTTTTTGTTGTTTTTTTTTGTTTCTTAGATTTACTAGTCCTGATTTACAAAAACTTTGTATTGTATTGAAAAATGCAGTCGCAGTTCCAGTACATGGTGAATCAACACCATATATTTTACCTACTATGCCAGATGTTGTTCTTACTCATTTACAAGATGGTGTACTTCATTCAATGGAGCTTTTACAAAAAGTATATAATTTATTATATAGTTATATACTTATCATTATCAAAAATTTTTTTTTAAATTTTATGTTAATAAAATTTTTTTTTAGGAAGCACTAAATGGACCTGATAATTTACGAACCATGATTGTTTTAATATTTCTTCAACTTTTAAATTTTTCAAAATTAGCTTGTGAAGCTCCCACTTATGGTAAAATTCCAACAAAACATATTTCCCAAATTAGAGGTGTATCTGTACGTATTTATTTAATTTTAATATTTAATTAACCACATTGTTATTAAACAAATATTTAATTTTTTTATTTATTTAGACTGATTGGGTGACTATGAATTATGTTCCTTTTGGAGAGAAAGCTTTATCAATGATTGTAACATTATATCAAAAGACAGCACATGAAATGGCAGTCATAGAGGGACAAGTTTTAAAGCATATTATAGAAGCGTTGCATGTGCCTTTATCAATGAAATATGCTTGCCCATCATCAACAACTTGGAAATTAGCCGTTACTAGTTTGCTTGCTGTTTTACATACTGGTTTACCTTTAGCTAGAAAATATTCAGAACAATTTCAAAGTATGTGGCCGGAACTTGCGAGTACCTTAGATGATTTTCTATTTCCAAAAAGGTAATTAGAAACAAAAATATTATATTATAAGAAAGATTATAGCATAGAAATATACTTTTATTATTTTTATCTTTTTTTGTTAAAATTAATATTTTGGTATTCTATTATAGTGTATTAAATGTAGAACGAGGTGTTGAAGAAATTCAAGCAGATGAAGCAGTAGATTGTCAAGTGATGGAACTTTTACGAGATGAAGTTTTACCACATTCTCAGCATATACCTCATCAGTTTATTTTACGAGTAGTTATGTTACTAAATAAAGGTTCCATACATTCAGCAACTACAACAAATATTGGTAAATTTTTATTTATATTCTTTGAAAAAAAAACTGTGAATATAAAATTATTGTTTTTAATTATAGAAAATAGTGGAGAAACCAAATTAAGAGAAGAATTTGCAAAAACATGTTTTGAAACGTTACTTCAGTTTTCTCTATTGGATGGATTAAATAGTGAATCAGATCATGATACAACCAAGAACTCTGAAAACGATGAGGGAGGTGTTGCTGGACGATTAGCAGTCACTGCACTCCTTCATAGATTTCAAGAAGTTTTGCGACGATATATTGAAAATGAGAGGCGAAGTGGAAAATGTCCATTACCTAGGTAATAGTTTCGTGTAAAGTTCAAAATTTCTTTCCTAAATAAACATAAACTTCGATAAGTTAAATTATTTTAATTAACTATATTAATAATTGAACGATATTATTTTGAAAATTATATATATTAATATATAGGATATCTCACTTTAATTTCCTCTTATGAGAGATTAAAATGGGATATCCTATATATAATTATTTATTATATTAACCTTTCCTAGGTACAGATTATCAGAAATTTCATTTGTTTTGAAAGCTGTTGCGACACTTGTGGTTTCACTAAAAAAAGCACCACCTAATAAAGGTAATTATAATAATATTTTTTAATATTTTCTAATATTTTTATGTATTTAATTTTAATATTTTTTATATGTAAAATGTATAACTTCTTAGATTTTATTTATAAATAAATTTAAATTTTATTTTTTAGTTGAGAGATCAGTTTGGGAACAACTTATTGGACTATATCCTTGTTTAGTAGAATGTACAATAGCTACAGCATCAGGCCAAGTATCAAGATCATTACGAGAAGCTTTGTTGCAATATCATGATCTATTGAAACCACCACTTCATAGTTCCACAGCATCCAATGGTGTTTGACCATTGCATTCTTTGCTTCTAATTCAAAATAACAATGTTTGCTACATAACAAAGTAGTAAACTTTTTATAACTACAACTACGTGTACAATAAATTTTGTCATAAAATTTTTACTTTCATGTACACGTATAAGGTAAAGAATCTAAGGTGAAGTATTTTTAAAAAAATTTTCAATTTGTGTACTGAAAATCTTATAAGTTCTCCATTAACATATAACAAAGGTAAAAATGTTATCTTTATCTTTATAATATAAATATTTTAATTCTGTAAATTACAATAGATTTTGATAGAATGATATATTCAATTATCAATTTTAACACTTAAAATGTTAATCATAATAACTTTAATTATTTATTTGACCTTTTTAAATTTATATTTTTTTCAAATACTTTGATTTGTATAAAAGTAATCACGAATTTGTTTTATGTTTATTATTATAATATCTTAAAAAATAACTGCTATATATAGCATAATATTTATAAATAACAAAATTTATTAATTTTGAGTTAGCATTATTATCTGTAATGAGCAAAAACAAAAGTAATATAATGTGATCTTTCGTGTTTGAATGAAATAGCACATGAAAACATGTAGTCTTAGAAAGTCGAAGCAAGTATACAAAAATTGTTTTAAATATGTATTTGATTAAGCGAAAATTGATTTATTATCATAAATTATACATACATGCCATGCTGTTGTACATATTTGATGTACAACTTGGCTATTGTAAATATTGAATTAATTGCGATTAGAGTATATAGTACGATTTTATAAATATGAATTATTCGCTATTCTTACATTGATATAATATTGAAAAATTATGATATAATAATGTAAATAGCCACACAAAAATTCAATAAAAGTCTGAAATATTTATTGCTATTTTTGTATAGAAATTGTGCCTTCATACATTTTTAAACTTTGTATTTTTTAATGTTTTTGTAAAAAAAGCACAAATTTTTTTATTATATTTTTGAAAATATTTGTAAACATCGAAAATATTAAAGTTTATTTTTGAGAATATTGAATATTGAATTATCTAATTATTTTATTTTGTATATAATTAATTATTATAATTGTATATAATTAATTGTATATAATTAATTATTATATTATTTTATTATATCTAGTATGATTAATTTAGATATGTATATAATACATATCTATAAATTTATTTAAAATATATGTAATATATTTAGAAAAGATTAGAGAGATATTATATCTATATATAATTATCACAAAATGAATATCTGAATTTATTTTATTATATATTAAAAATTTTATATATATAATCTTTTTCTACATGTAATTTTATAATTTGAATTTTTGAATTAAGTATTCGTACAATTAATTTTTAGGAACAGTACTTGATTCGATTTCTCTTAATGGATAATCGCCTTAAAAAGAAATGTCTTTAAAATATAGATGTCGCATCTGTAACCGGAAAACTTCTAGTAATAATCAAATTTCAATAAATATTTATTATAAGACAAAATTTTACGATATTATTTTGCAATGATTAAATTAGAAAATAATCAATTTAAAAATTTTAACTATGTTCAAGCGAATTAATGTATATTAGTAAAAAAGTGTTGAATTTGATTCGTGATGTATTTTCGAGTGACGCCGTAGCCATGATTGTTTAGTTTCGGGGGGATGAAAAGTGAATGCGAGCAACGGATTTGAATGAAACGCGTGTGATCGCAACATATCGACTTGTTTCTCTATTTAATGAGTGTGTTTGTTAATTGAGAAATATGGTAAGCGATATCATATGTTAAAACATGTGTTAAGTGTTTATTCATGCAAGATAATTTTCGCGGGAATTTTCAGGCGTTACAATTGTTGGGTGCCGCCGCTTCCGCGGCACAACATTGTACTTTCAAACTTTTGACCGATTTATATCCAATATACAAAATCATAAAATAAAATGAGCATCGTGTAGAGTTTATTCTATAATACGTCTTTTATTTGATTTATAATGATTATATTGATTATGTATCTGAAATACACTATTTCTGTGAAGATACTAGAAAATATAACGAGTATCACACTGCATATAAATCGATATACACTCTGAGTATGCATATATGTGTTTGTATATGTGTATGTTGTGTGTGCGTAGTGTGACGCTTGCTACAAATATATGTATATTTCATATATATAACTACTACAAATAATTGTGGATTAGGAACGCCCCTTTTTATGATGTGATCGAATTTCTTTCCCGCGCAATTTCTAAGATATGATGGAACATTTATAATTAATTATATTTTTATTTAATATATGAATTGATTTTTCTGTAATAATTTATTTTTTCTTTATGATTTTTTTTTTATTAAATTTTACATTTATAAACATTTTTTTTTCAAAACATTCTTTTTTTAAATATGTTAATACAATTTAAAAAATATATAAATAATTAATCATATAAAAAATTTATAAAAATTTAAAAAATATATGTTAAAATTATATTATAATTGTATTTAATTTTATTAAAGCTATCATTGAATATAAGAGATTTTTTTTTATGTTATAATTGTTATAATAAAGCTTGTATTTAAAATGACTTTAAAAAAAAATATTTTGTTTAAATGATTGATCAAAAAAAAAAAGAAAAAAAAATAAATAATAATAATAATAATAAATAAATAATATATTAGAATATTAAATATATTAGTTATCACAATTTGTAAGAGAAATATTTTTAATTAAAAATTATTATATTTTTATGAAAAATGAATGAAGAAATTATTTAATCTAAAAATTTCTTCAAATTTAAATTATGTAATATTTATAATATAAATTTATAATAATATAAATATAAATATATATATATAATAATATAATATATATATTTATAATAATATACATATAAATTATTATATAAATTTATTTATCTTATTGATTACATTTAAAAAATCTATTATATTTAAGAATCAATTATATATTTTTTATTATTTTTAATGATGTAGTAATAATTTATGATTTCATTATTGTTTTAGGCCAATTAGATATTTGTCTGAAATGTGGTTACGAAGTGAACATGTTAGTAGAAGACTACGTGGTCGTTTAAATATAAGTTGTACATCTGAAACTAAAATATACAATTATCGGGTACAAGTTAGGAACATACGAAAACTTCCTTCTATAAATAATAGTAGTCATCACATTAATATACCAAACAAATATAGTAGGCTGACACGATGGAGACGTAGATGTACTCATTTTTTAAAAGAGGTATGCATTACTTTTTATTTTTTTTCTTTCTAATTTTAAACATAAATTCTTACATATGTTACATTTTTTATGTTTCTATTCAAGATATGGATTCAATTATAATTTCAAACTACATTATTATCATTAGCTTATTGTAAATGATCTTTGCAGGTCATTTATTAAAACTTCACTATTCCTTAAAAAGAAATACTTTCTAACTAATCAACGGTTAATGAGTGACTGACTAACTCTCAAGGATATTATGCACTTAGATTTCTTAGAACTACAATCGAAGTCAATTTGGTTAATGTAAAGACTTCACTTCAGTTTTGTTAAAAAGATTATTATCTTCGTAGGCTTGTAAAGAAAATGTTTTACGTTTCGCAAAATCTGCGCCTAGTAGACGAGTGAGAGGACCTCGTAGAAGAAAATGCATAAAACGATCAATGGTTACTTCAACACCCTTACATCGAACTTCTACAAAAAATGCAGTTACTGTAAGTTTTATTATAAATTAATTTGTTTTTTGAACAAAAGGTAATAAATATAAATTATTTAGCCAGCAAAATGTACAACAGTATCAAAAGTTTCTGAAGAATCTAAAGAAAACTGGAATGTAACTAGTTTATCTTTATACTCATCCATATTAAATACAGACACATGCTCCTCCATATCCAGTGTAAATGATTTCAAATCTTCAGTTTCAAGTGCATCAACACTGTCAAATCTAATGCCTCCAGCATCCATAGGATCAAATTCAGATTTTTCATATATATTGGATGATGAAGAAAGTAAAAATATTGGTATATATAATATAAAAATAGTATATAATTTATTTATTTCTTTGATTTTACATATGTACATTTATATTATACATACAAATGATAAATTCTGTTTGTTACAGATACTAGATCGCTATATTATTCCACTTCTTGCTCACAAACAGAAGTATCTGAAGAATGTTATAGTTTAATGCATTCTACATCCATGTATGGAACTCGTTCTTATTCATTAGAAAAGTATTTTCCAAATGGAAAATACGCACTTAGCAATAATAATGCGAATAATAGTAATTTGTCAAAAAATCAATGTTCTGTTGACAGTCATCTGTCAAAATATGATTCTAACTTTGCTACTACAAAATATGGTACATCAACCATGTACAGTCTAAGCCATCATCATCCATCTGATACAAATGGAAATGTTACTGAAAAATATAATTCCGATGATATTGAAAACAATTATCATGATATTGAATATATGGAAGTTGGAAGTGAGGAAATAGTAGAAAGTTGTGATATGGAAAATATGGTTACTCATGTTCAAGAAGATTGGGAACCATTTGATCCTTATGTCTTCATTAAACACTTACCACCTTTAACTCCAGCAATGAGAGCTAGATGTCCTGCTCTTCCTCTTAAAACAAGAAGCAGTCCAGAATTTAGTCTCGTATTAGATTTGGTATGTATATTTTAAATTATTTTTAATTAATTAAAAAATAAATAATATAAATTAATATGAAAATAAAAAAGAAAATAATAAAAATAAAGTTTTAATAAAATTTAAAAAATATAACAAAATGAATAAATAACACGAATATAAAAAAATTTTTTTTTATATAGGATGAAACATTAGTTCATTGTAGTTTACAAGAACTTTCGGATGCAGCATTTCGTTTTCCTGTCGTCTTTCAAGATGTAACGTACACAGTGTTTGTCAGAACACGACCTTATTTTCGCGAATTTTTAGAACATGTTTCATCATTGTATGAAGTTATTCTTTTTACTGCGAGTAAACGAGTTTATGCAAATAAATTAATGAATCTATTAGATCCAACACGAAAATTGATCAAGTATCGTCTGTTCAGAGAACACTGTGTTTGCGTAAATGGAAATTATATCAAGGATTTATCTATACTTGGTAGAGATTTATCTAAAACTGTTATTATTGATAATAGTCCACAAGCATTTGGATATCAGGTAAAAAAATATTTTTGAAATATCAAAAAAGATAAAAAAAAAATAAATTTTTTATTTTTAAAAAATATTGTTTTACAGTTAGAAAATGGTATTCCTATAGAAAGTTGGTTTGCGGATCGTTCAGATAATGAATTAATGAAATTGTTACCTTTCTTAGAAAATTTAGTAAATTGGGTAAGTATTTATTAATTATGAGGTAACTTTTTATTAAAAGATTTGTATATAACTATATATATAATAATATATAATATACAATAAGTATCAATTGTTACAATGTATAATAATATAAATATTCATTTTAGGGTGGAGATGTTAGACCACGTATTAGAGAACAATTTCGACTCTTCAGTTTTTTACCACCAGATTAATTTAGTTAATTATAATTTTATCAAATTAATTTAGTTGATAAACAAAATTAAAATTTAAAAAATATACTAGCCTATATAGGTACGTATATGTATAATATCTTACAGATAATTGTAAGATATTAATACAAAGCGTGCAATAAAAAAAAAAAAAATACCGGTGTATTAAATAATGTTTTATAAAAAAAAATGATTAAACTGACTAAAAACTTAATCAATTTAATACGAATTGAAATAATTATTATGATTTTCATAAGATATATAAAAAAGAAGTTAATTTATTATAAAATATAATAAATTTTGTACTTGTGTTCTTAAATGTGAACTTAAATTAATTTTATTACAAAATTTATATAAAAAATGTATTTGAAAAATCAATATCTTAACATTGTTAAGAAATATTACAATGTATAGTAGTTACTAGAATCTATATTTATCAAACTTTGGGCAGGTACCAATTAATAAATATCAAATAATAAAACTTTATTACATAAGACCAATCAAGATTTAATAATTGCTAGAGCAAGTAAATTTTATAAATATTTTCATTCAAATTGATTAAAATCAAAGTTACATATTTGTTAATAAATTGCTCTAGCAAATTATAAATAATTTTCAATTAAAATATATATTATGTTCTTATAATAAAAAATAACTAAAAGTTAATTAAAAGATACATTGAATTGAGAAATGCTAGAAATCAAAACATATTTATTCACATTTTTTGTTCAAAAATTTTTATTCAATCAAATTCAATTTTTAATTTTTTTGTTAAAAATGATATAATTTCAAAATTATGAAATTAATTATTATTATTATTCATTATATATAGAGATATGCAAAACATTTATCTAATTTATCTAATAAAAAATATTATTTATCTAATTATAAAGTAAATTAAACAGAAATTAAATATCATTTATGAGATGAAATTATTGCAATAATTAATTTAATTATTTGTTTAAAAAAATAGTAAATTCATTGATTAGAAACAAAATATACTGATAGAATAAATATAGATGAACAAAATATAAACTTCCATTTTCAAATAACTTCCGTTTTCACTAGTTTTTATTTCTGTGAATAATCCATAGTAAAAATCATATGTATTAACAAGTTTTAAACTTAAAAGATTTGAGGAGATATTAAACTTGTACTTTTAGAACAAAGATATTGTTTATATTAATTACAATTATAGCTTATATTTTTGACTTATTATATATTTTTTAAATATTTTCGCACAAATAATTCAATTTTTAGTTAAAATATCCTATAAATTTTTTAGGATAAATAATTATTATTTATAGTTATCATTTTGTGCAAATAATAATTGTTATATTTTTAAATATTTTCTATTATATAGTAATATATATACTTCATCTTGTGAAAATATCTTCTATTCAAGTTTAGTTATAAATAAATATGATCTCTAAATATCTTTAATCGGTATATTAAAAATATGAATTTTTAAACTTTTCAATTGAGCACTGCAAGTATAAATCAGTGTAGATTACAACTTCTTTGAGTATGAATATATATATTCATAATTTTTTAATTATAAAAGTACATGTTGATATGTACGTATCTGTATAAGCGTGTGTGTGACAATTATATCGTTATACCCTGCTATATCTAATAAAATTATAGAATTGCGTGTAATTTATAGTCAAAAATTTATATCGAAAAATCATAATTTAGTAAAGCCATGTTATATCTTGTAGTTTATTATACTTCAAGATTGTATGCGCATTTCACATCACGAATTTACAGATGTGTAAAATCAATCAATTTATTACAAATGTGAAAATATTTGATTTTTCTTTGAATTATTTTTTCTTTTATTGTTTCTTTTTTTTTTCAAATTTTTTAAAATGTTAAGATGCTACATAAATTTATCAAATGAGATTTAATTTATTAATTTAATTTTCTATGAATATTATATGATAGTGAAAATAACTGATTTATCATTGTAAATTGCAGTATGTATTTTTTTCCATATAATAGTTTTTTTTTTTAATTCTAATGAATAACAAATTATGAACTACTTATATTTTTCTTTAGAATATACTGTATCCTCATATGTATTATAATCATAGCTTTCACATATATTTGTTATTAAAAAATTACTAGAAGAAATAAAAATAGTAAGGAGCTGAGGAAAATACATGCTTGTTACATATAAAATAAGTCCTTATGTTATTTAATCTTTTATTTATCATTGAAGAATGAATATATTCAGACATAAATTGTTGTGATTAGGAGATAAATGCTATTTATTTAATGATATTCCTATACGCAAAGGTATTAAACTACAAACAATATTTCGAAACAAATAAGAATTTTTCTCTATTAATAAAATATAAATTTTAATAAAAAAAAATTGAAGATGAAAATATAATTTTTGTTTATTGTAACTAAACGCTGGAGACAAGAAATATGTAACAGACATACTATGATAGTTATAGGGGATAATTATGCAATTGTCATTAAATATTTCGCAAATTAATTAAAAAAATGAAAAAAATAATTCGAACATTATTCCAATAACTTACATTTAATTTAAACGTTATTGTACATCATTATATTATTTACATATAATATTTAAAAATATTTTACAATTTCACACGAAAATATGCTATAAATTGAATTGACTAGAAGAGTAATAAAATCATATTGTGTCAAAGATATATGTAATATAAATGTGCATTGAAAAATTAATGCACATTAATAACAATATACATATTTTTTACACAAGAATATAAGTTAGTTCTTGTAACTAACAAATCTTTCAATTAAAGTAAATAATGAATAAGAGTTATTTAAAGTACAAAATAACAAATATTATTAATTAAATATATACAACTTTTATGATAAAAAGGTACTTATTGTCAATTAACACCATATACTTAATATCAGAACAGTTGTTATTGTACATAATTCTTTTAAATAGTTTAATTAAATTAAAAATAAATGTTGATAACAAGTACATTGAAAATAATTATCGCAGAAAAAATAAACAATGATCATTAAACATAATCGTTTTCAACAATATTTGACAAATAAAAAAAACAAAATTTATAAAACGTCTAATTTACGAATACCTTTTATCGGTTATGCAATCCTGTCGTTTTCCAAGAACATACATATGAAAATCTCCAAAGTCGTGTTACTTAATTCTCGCCTCCAACATTTTGTTATTTTATTTCATTCCTATCGCTTGAGGAGAAAAAATGCTGAAAAATGTCGTGCAGTATTATATGTTTACAGTAATACATTCAGCGATATTTCATGTTCAATGCTAATATAATGTGCATATATTTAACAGCTAACAAGTTTAACTATCAATATTTTTCTTATTTTTTATGCAATTTACTATTTCTTATGTTTTCAGACTCGGGCTTTAGATACATTGAATGTTTATTTATTTATTATAAAATATATAATATATATATATATATATATTATATATTATATAATAAAAATAATCTAATAATGATTTATTCATTTTTCTTGAAAATAATTATTTATAAAATATTACATATTTTTGGCTTTACATGTTTACTTTCTTCTTTATCAAGAATGCGTGCATAACACAGGAACTTCATGTCAGTACAATCAGAGCACATTATTTCAACATATCTAGAGCCCGAGGAAAATTCCACCTAATCTTCCGAACGCTGGAAATACCTAGTTTCAATGCGTTTGCAGAGATGTACAAGCAGTGGATAACTCTGGACAATATTTGCTAGTTTATTACCAGGTAATGGTGTTGTAATTATTGTAAAAATATGTCCAAAAACTAAGGCATCCAATTCATTAGGTGTCCTAAATATAATGAAATAAAAAAATTGTCAACTATGAATTAATTAGTTGAATAAATATATTTCATATACATAAATTGAAGAAATGAATATTTGGAATAATAAAATTATTTTAAAATTGGATTTAAGGATTCAAAAAAAGAATTTCAAAAGAATCATCTGAAAGTGGTGGTAATGCTTCAATTGAGTCAGAGTAATTCCATAATGTTTTTTTTGAAGAAGATGCAGAAACTTCAAAATCACCAACAGGACATTCAGTTCTATTCAAATAATTTCGATCAATTCTTGATGCATGTTCAAGTAGTTTAGGAAATTCTTGTATAGTTAAAGCAATCTCTTGAACAGTGGATGGGAGAGGATTGGTTGAAGTGAGAGCATACACATGACCGTATACAAGAGCATCTACTTCAGTAGGTCTTTTCCAAAAACAAATAATAATAAGCATACTTATCAACAAATTATATTTTAGATGAATATGAAATGTTTTTAATATTCATTTATTTTTAAATATTAATTATATTTAATAAAAAAAGAAAAAAAATTGAAATATTAAAAATATAGCATAATTAAAATTAATAATTTATACTTACTTATCTCCAGAGAAGTAATCACTACCCTCCAATCTTTCAGACAATGCTGTACAACAATTTTTGACTTCTTCACATACTTCTTCTATAGTTTTATTGTACCATCCAAGTACATTGAGTTTTTTTATAACTTCTTTTCTTTTTTGCCAATTTAAAAAATGATTTAATGGCCATGGATATACACTTCCATGTCTTACTTTTGTTACTTCATTTAAAGTCAATTCATCAACCCAACAAATATATAATTCAGCATTTACAAAAACATTATTTACTAATGACATATAAGCTCTCATATCAGCTTTGCAATTTGCAGTTAAATGATCAGATAAACTTGTGCCTTTATTTCCTATGAATGACACAATATTATCAAATTCAGGTATTAAAAATGCTCCACATTTAATAAATGGTACACGACCAGATGGGGACATATATTCTGCATTGCTCCTTGGTTCTATTTGAAAATCAATGCCACACATTTTAAGAAAAGCTTGTACAGCTAAACAATTTGCATTATCAGGTAGTAATATTTGTTCAACTTCATATGGTTGATATAAGATAATTTCTTGAGGCCATGGTTCCTGAGCTAAAAAAATAAAAAAAAAAAGAATTTCAAAATAATAATAAATACTTAATAGATATTTTTGCATAATTATGAAATAAAAAACAAATGATAGAATTAAACAAAGATTTGTGACTTAAAAGAAATTTTTTTGCGTGAAAATGAAATTATTATTCATTTTAAAAGGAAAATAATAAATAATATATATTTAAAAGGTTAAGTTTTATATTTTAACTTCAATAATATATATGTTAAAATAGAGGTTTTGAAAATTACCTTCCAATTCTAAAGTAATAGAATCTGCTAATAGTGGACAAGGCATCTTTTAAATATTATGTTAATAACGATGAAATTTAATTTTTTCGTATTCCGAACTTCATCAAATGGCAAAACAAATGAATGTTTTAGCGGCAAAGAGAACTTTTATGTATTGATTATTTTACATTTTGATTGTAAAATTAATGCATTTTAATAAAATATTATATTATTGTTTATAGAATTATATAAGTTTATGTATTATAATTAAATAATTATTCGATTATTACATTGTATTAAATATTTTTATTTATGTTTTATATTAGAATTAGTGTGTGGTAATATAAATTAGATAATTTAATAAATATTATATAATATTCATAATATAAATTATAAATTTGAAAAAATATATATATTTGAAATAAAAAATTATTTATTTCTTAAAATAAAGATTTCCATTTAATTATATGGTAACATAAATTTTCAAATCTATAAGATGTACTTATTATAAATGATTATAAATAGTATATAGAAAAAAAAGTATTAAAAATTGCAATATTCAATTTTCTATGATATGATTTAAATGAAAAATTATAATAATTTTTTAAAAAATCATTTAAATACTGAAAGTATTTCCGCGTCGGAAGCAGTCAAAATTGCGCAAAGCTAGTGCGCGGTAAACGACAGTTTCTTTCTCTTTTAAATACAGCAAGATGTCGAAGAGAGGTAAGTTGTTTTTCAGGATGAAAGAAAATCCGAAGAAATCCATTTAAATATGAATTATCAGTTAAAAAGGAAATACACAAAAGCTGAGTAAATAATTGTTATATATAGCTGCAGAAATAATTTTTCATTAATAATAATGGAACTTCAAAAAATCGATGATCGTTTGGAAAGAAATATTAAATATATTCATTGATAATAATAGTTAACATGAAATTATTATTCTTTAAGGACGTGGTGGTTCTGCAGGAGCAAAATTTAGGATATCATTAGGTTTACCAGTTGGTGCAGTCATAAATTGTGCCGATAATACTGGTAAGTACTTGCAAAAAAGCTGTAAAAATAATACTTAACCTAGAAAAACTGACTATATTATGAAAAAGTAACACATGGTTAATAATTGTCATTTGAATTTCTCAAATATTATTTTATTTGATAAATTAGTTTTTATTTAAAATAATGAAAAATTATTCATTTATTAGTATTAAAAATTTCTTACATACTTTTATATAAATAAATTGCTGTAATTTTAAAATATATAAATAATATTACTTTATATCAGAAATATTGGTAATTAAGTTGTTTATTCAAAAAAAATAATGTTGTAAAGATTATATAATTACTAAATAATTAAAATATGTTCTATTTAAATAATTTTAAATTGAAAAAAATAGAGATTATAAAATACAATATTTTAACAATTTTAATCATTTGATATTCAATTTTCAATTTGATTAAATCTATACTATTATTATAATTAAATTTTTTTATAGGTGCTAAAAATTTATATGTTATCGCAGTTCAAGGAATAAAAGGCAGATTAAATCGTTTGCCAGCTGCAGGATCAGGTGACATGATTGTTGCCACAGTTAAAAAAGGAAAACCTGAACTTAGAAAAAAGGGTAATTAAAGTCACTTTTCAATTTAATATTTTTTAAAAAAATGAATAGATTTATATATATTTATTTATAATTACTAACCTATATAATTCATATTAATTTTTATAATATTTACATTATTCTTTAAGCAAAAATTAATTATATAGAATGTTAATTTTAATTAAGTTTAATTATAATTAATTTTATTATTTATATATAATTTTAATAATAAATATTAATTATAATAATAAAATTATATATAATTATATATTATTTATATATAAATTATATTATATCCTTATTAATAAATTTATGATTTCAAATAAAAATAATATTTTTATATTATTTTTTTCTATTTTTTTCTAGTTATGCCTGCAGTAGTAATACGGCAGCGAAAACCATTTCGAAGGAAGGATGGAGTTTTTATATACTTTGAAGACAATGCAGGAGTTATTGTGAATAATAAAGGTGAAATGAAAGGATCTGCTATTACAGGACCTGTTGCAAAAGAATGTGCAGATTTGTGGCCCAGGATTGCATCTAATGCTAGCAGTATCGCCTAAACATTCTGTAAATTTATTGCTCTTAATAAAATAAATTTGAGCATTCGCTCATTACTTTTGTTGTATTCTTTTCTCTTTTTAATTTTTCTTTATAATTGTAAATTACATTACCTTTATTGTAACTTTTTTCAGAATTGATTTCAATCATGCAACAAAATTCATTGAATTAATGTTGAATTTTATAAATAAGAATTAATAACTACTTAAAAATAATTAATAAATTATATTTTATGAATACAGTATTCATTATTAATGAATTAAAGATCCTTCAATAAAAACAAAAAAAAAGTGCTATTTAAGTTATATTCTTGAAATTCAATTCTTATAAAGGAAAGACAATAAAATTCTCAATATTCGTATTTTTATCGAAAATTACTAGATACGAATTTTATTTTCTTAATAAAACTTTATTAATATTGAATTATATAATTTTGCAGCTATTTTATAAGTATTTTCTTATATATAGATAACATATATAATAAGAATTAAATTATTATAGTATAATTGTAATATATTATTATTATAATTATTATAATACATGGTCGAAATAGTAAAAATAATAAATAAATGATGTTATTAATAATAAAATAATAAATAATGTTATTAATGTTAAATGTAATGTTAAAATAATGTTATAAACATTTTGTGAGATTTCATATTTTAAAATATCAATGTTTGATATTTTTTATAACAAATTTTTAGATTCGTGAATATCATCATAAAATATATATACAATATATAAACAATGAATATATAGAATATATAGAATATATAGAATGAATTTTATTAAGATTTTTAATCAATAAATTAGAAAAAAGAAGATTAAATTTCAGAAATCGACGTCATTTCTGGAGCGCATGAATTTTGTATGATAAGAAGAGCAAATAATAGGAAAAAAACCGAGACAGGATAAAAATTGAAATTAGGATTATATCCAAAGTATTACAAATAAAACAAATATTGATAAGACAAGCAAATAGTAACAAAAAATAAAAATAATTTAAGAATTGATTTTTAATGCTATTTATTATTATAATAAAGCTATAATTTATTATTATAATATATCTATTATTATTATAATAGATATAATAGATATATATATATATATATATTTTTTCAAAAATAGATAAATAGAGTAAGATTAAGGATCAATACCATCTTTTGAGTATAATTCTTATTTTATGTTATTTTGTTTTAGAAAAAGTTTTGTTTCCCTCATTCAAAAGATGGCACTGATAGTCAATTCTTATCCTATTTCTATTTTTCTTATACTATTTTCCTATTTTGTCTATATTTTTATTAGTTTCATTTATTCTAGAACTGGCATTAATTTCAATATCTTTATCTTCTATTACTATTATAGTAATTATAGTAGATCTTCTAGTTACTATTATAGTTATACTATATATTATATTTATTTATTATTTATATATCATAATATTAAATTCTTTTATATGATGCAACATAATAATTAATTAAATTTGACAAAGCTCCAACATATAAAAAAAAATTTAATAGTGTGATACATAAATAATAAAATATAAAACGGAAATATAATATAAGAATTAATTGTTATAAAGTAAAATAAGGTTGAAAGATAAGAGAAGAATTTAATCTAAATATTAAAAAATATAAAAAAAATGAAATATAAAAAAAAGATTTAACAGAAATATTAATAAATCAAGAAAAACATTTGAAAAAAAAAACAATCTATCAAATTTACATTGTTGAATTTTTTTCTTTATATATGTTTTTTTTTTACCTTAATTAATACTTGTGTTAAATTCTTTCTTGGTATTTTAGATTTTTAGATTTTTAGATTTAGATTTAGATTTTTTTTAACTTTAAAATTAAATTCTTCAGCTATGTTTCAATTATTTTTTTTACTTTATTATAGTTAACATTTATATTATATTCTCTTCTTATGATTTTTATATTTATTCATTATATATATACATAACAAATTCTTTTATATGATGCAACATAACAATTAATTAAAATTTTAATTAACAATTAATTAAAAGCTCTCAATGCTGCAACATTTAAGAAACAAATTTACATTGTAAATACATAAATAATGAATAAAACATAAAACATAAAAAAAAAATATAATATAAAAGTTAATTATCATGAAGTAAAAAAAAATTAACATATTGGAGAAGAATTTAACCTCAAAGTTAAAAAAATCTAAAAGAATTGAAGTAAAAAAAAACAAGGATTTAATAGAAATATTATCTATATTAAGAAAAATATTTAAACAAAACAATTAAATTTTCTTTTTTATGTATGTTTTTTCTAATTCAACAATTTAAGACTCATGTTAAATTCTTTTTTTAATATTTTAGATTTTTGGAATTAGACTTTTTTTTTTAATTTGATATTAAATTCTAATTAATTTTTCTGATATTAAATTCTTCTCTTATGTTTCATTTTTTTTTATTTTATAATAGTTAATTTTTTGTGTCATATTCTCTTTAATTTTTTCATTATTCATTATTTATGT